AGCATTTTAAAAGGAAAACCTTAGTGGAAGCACTACACTGGGAATTGAGATTAAAACCTGATATCTGTCTGGGGCTTTAGAATCTATCTGAAAAAAATTTACTTTATCATCAAACTAAATAAGTTTTAAAAAGACAACAATGCAAGGAATTAAAATTATAATATGAGTGAACAAAAATGAGCTTTACCAGATGTGAAAAATATATCTGGTCTTTTCCCCATCTCCTGGCATACAACTCCTAAAATTCTTAGAATCTCTGAAGTGTTGTTTTTGCAATATGCTAATGAGTTGACTGATGGCTGGCAGCTCCTTGGTAGTTTCAGAAGGGGGCTTGATCACCAGAAAGACCAATGCAGGAATTTCAGCCTCACCCCCCAACCTCCAGGACGGGAGAATGGATGAAGTTTAAGTTGCTCACCAATATGGCCAGTGATTTAATTAATCATACCCAGTTAATGAACTCCTCCTGGGTTCCAAGAACTTCTGGACAGCTGAACTTGTGGAGGTTTCTGGAAAGTGGTGTGACCAGGGAAGGCATGAAAGCTCTGCATCCTTTTGCCCATACCTCACCCTACACATTTCTTCACCTATATCCTTTGTAATATCCTTATAATAAACCAATAAAGGTAAGTGTTTCCCTGAGTTCTGTGAGCCACTCGGCAAATCAATCAAACTTGAGGAGTGGGTATGGGAACCCTTATTTACAGCCAGAATTCATAGGTCAGAAGCACAGATAAAACAACCTGTAGCTTGCGATTGGCACTGGTGGGGGTTGGGGGACAGTCTTGGGGACTGAGCCCTCAACCTGTGGGATCTGATATTATCTCCAGGTAGACAGTGTCAGAAATGAATTGGAGCACCTAGCTGGTGTCCACTGCAGAATTGCTTCGGTGTGTGGAGAAAAAAACACATTTGGTCACAAAAGTCTGCCTTCTGCATCGATGGTTGCTGTTGAGTAAAAGTATAGGAAAAACACTTCAGTTTGTGTTTGTTTTTCCCAATCACCAGAAAAATAAAATTTTACTTAAGAATAAAAAAATCGAGAAGCCAAGGGCAGCCCGCTCTGACCGGAAGCAGGCAAGAGAGCAACACCCAGGGTCCTAAGCAGGAGTCAAGAACAGCCTCCTCCACCTGGAAGCAGGCAAGAGAGCACACCAAAAATACCACTTCTGCTCAGGTGGCCCACCACAGCCACAACTGCTGCAAAAGCGGCTCATTGCCACAACAGTAGCCACAGCCACTATGCAGGAGGCCCGCCAGACAGTTGACTGCTGACACAAGGAGAGTGACCAGTGGAGACTAAAAAAAGAAGAGGAAGTCTCTCTCCTCAAAGCCTACTCCAGAGTAATAGAAGAAGCACCTGCTCTACTAGATGACCAGGCATCAATGCAGAGATACTAGAAATATGAAAACTAAAGAAAATATGACACCACCAAAAGAATACAGTTATTCTCAAATACCATACCCTATAAAGCAGGAAACCTTTGAAATGACTGAAACTAAATTCTGAGCAACAATCTTAAGGAAAGTCACTGAGATATGAGAAGACTCAGTTAAACAACATGATGAAAAGTGAAAAAAAAAAAAA